GAGCAGGTCCGGTGCAGCCGCAGCCCGGTGCTTCCCCTAGGGTCTGCAAACTATCAACAAAGAAGCCCCGCCGGACGGGGCAAGCCGGAGCTGCCTCAGTGGCGCTCTTGCACAGCTACACTGAGAGGGCTTTTGGACTGAAATCCTGGGTGTTGCTGTAGGTGGCATAAAGTACCATTTTGTTTCCGTCTCGACAGTGAGGCTTTCAAAATCTGGGTTAATTCTGTTAAAGTCTGTCTCGGAAGCATACCCATAGGAGAAGAAAAAAGTATAGAAAGGAAAATGGGTTTATTTAAGGGGTAATCATGTAACTTTTTGAAAGTGCCTTATGGGGTGAGTTGTAACAAATAGATTTTAACGCGGTGTTTGGCACTAAAGATATCGTTGTTTGCTTCATTTTAGTTTTGGGAATTGTTGACTGCCTGGACATGGGAACACCGAGGAATCTACAAACAGGTCTATTAAGAATCTGTCATCTCAAAAAATTTATTTTATGAATGTTTTCCATTAAGAAGGTGTCAACAGAGGTTTGTGATTTTTGCCACATAAGAGACTCTAATTTGAAACAGTTCCCTGGCAGTGGTCAGATGTCTGAAACTGGCGAGAGCTAGGCTGTAGGCTCGGAATGCTCATCCTTCAGCGAGAGAGGCACAGCGCTACCTACATACTGTCTAAATGCAATCTCTCTGGTGCCACTTAACATAATGGATGGCTTTTCTGCATCTCGATTTCAGATAGAGCACTGAGGTTTGCAGTGCTGTGGGGGCGTTTTCTACAGATCCAAGCACTGGCCGTTCGCTTCTGTTTCCAGATGTGTTTTCTCATTTGTGTACTTGAAACATCTACCATCACATGAACTCCACATTGAGCCACAGAGTTCTGTGACCCCAAGAGATTCAGGAATGGTGTTGCCCAGCTTCGGGACAAGCCAGTTTCACATCTGCTTGACAATTAAATAAATATCTCCTTTGCTAATTAAGGCTATGGAACCAAATAAAGACATGCACATTCTTTTGCCAAATGAACTCTGGGGCTGTTGAATTTCACTGTAACTGGCCATTCCCCGTTAACTAACATATAAGTTATGCACAAATGGACGTGAAGCCTGTGGCAATGTATACGGATTCTAGCCCACACTGAAGATTTAAGAGCAAAACAAAACAAAACCTATTATGACTAATCCTTGGGAAGAGAAAGTCTGCAAAATGGCCCAAACGAGTCTTCTGCAAGGGAAGCAGTTTTACTGTCGCGAATGGGTTTTCCACAAACTTCAGCACTGCCTCCAGGAGAAGTCAAGCTGCTGCACCAGTGCAGCCAACACGCAGTCCCTCGTCGGGAATGCTGGGAATAATGCTAGTGCCATCTCTGGGAAGGGGGCCTCCTGGGGTGTGTTGCTGGTGGGAGGGCCCGGCAGTGGGAAAACAGCCCTGTGCACTGAGCTCTTGTGGCCAAGCTCACCAGCCAGCCTACAGAGAGGTCTGCACCGCCAGGCTCTGGCTTTCCACTTCTGCAAAGCCCAGGACTCGGACACTTTGTGTGTTGGAGGGTTTATCAGAGGTCTGGTAGCCCAGATCTGCCAAAGTGGACTCCTCCAAGGTTATGAGGACAAACTAAGAGATCCAGCCGTCCAAAGTCTCCTGGAGCCTGGAGAGTGTGAGAGGAACCCAGCGGAAGCATTTAAAAGGTAACCATGTCTATGCATCCAAGTCTGAGATGCCTCTCAGTTGTTGGACGTAAATCACTGTTTCTCACTACACCTCCTTAGTTTTAATAGAAAAGAAAACCAGACTTAAGCTTTGTATTGCATAGTATGTGGCTTAGAAGTGAAGCTTAATTTTGCTCATTTAATAACAGAATGCCCCTTTCTTAAACAGTGCCTGTAGATGGGGAGGGGAGTTTGTCCTAAGACACAGCTATTAGGTGCTGGGACACTGGGGTGTGATTTCACGGAGGCCAGCTTTCGTTCATAGTAGTCGTTACAGTTTGTTTAACTACGAAAGGTAATTTCTCTAAAACAGTCCTTAGGAAATGTGTTTATGTGGTAGAGTTTATTCTCCTGTTTTCTAAAGGAAAGGTTGAGTGATCTGTGTCGATCTTTATAAAATAAATAGTGAACATCTGAAGCATCTTTATGCTTTAAGTGTTGAAGACAACATTGTCTTACTCATGTAAGAATCTCTGATAGAAGGGTTGGGGTAAGGGAACATGTTGCTTTTGAAAATGGTTTCAGATGCAAAGCTGTATTCCAGGAAACGCCATTCCTTGGAGATAAGTTTGGCTAGTCAGTCTCTCATGGAGAAGCAGTCCTGGTGTCCTCTGTGCCTCATTTTTGCTATAGTGTTCCTGTTTCTCCTCCACACTGCCTACCTCCTCCAGGGCCAAGTCTGTGTAAAGTGCTCTGCACTCTCAAGACTGAGAGGTTTGTGTGTCTGGAGGAGGGATTTGCAAAGGATCACAAAAGCAGTGTTTGCTTCATGTCCTGAAACCTTCAACTTTTGCAGGTGATACTGGAAGTATTTAATGATAGCCCACACTGTGGGGTCAGCAACTTAATGCTAAGTGTGTTACAAATAGTAAGGCATGTAATTTTCTTAGGAATTGTGTCATGTGGGAACTTTAGTCTATTTTCCTGATGAGGAAGCTGAAGGAGAGAAAGCAGAAGGAAGTTACCTGACGTTGAACAGGTTAAGTTGCATACTGAAGCGTTAACCTACATATTCTTTATCAATAAACATTCTGGAGTCAAGGACCGGGGTAAGAACCTGAAGGACCAGAGAAGCAGAGAAGCCACAAGTCCTCTCCTACCAGCTCCGTTCCTTCCTCCAAAAGGGCCAAGATCCCTCTCTGCCCCACCTTACTACTTCCTGTCCTATCTGTCTTCAGTCCTCCAAAATCTCCGTGGTTAAATTTGGTCAGCTAGTGACTAGCTCTGCCCTCTGACTCCAAGCAAGCTTCATTGGTCAGAACACGATCAAAATCTCACACAACATAACCTGACATTTGAAATATATCTGTATGTAATTGTAACTAGAAGAGTTGCTTGATGAACTTCTGAGAATAGAAGTCGTAAGTGGTAAAGGTGGAGAGCTGGGAGGTGTTGGCGTGTATTTAGTACCATGTTCAGATGGCCCATAGAGTGACAGAGTGGGTTTGAATGGGAGATGTTCCCATAGACTCTTGTGTTTCAAAGCTTGGGCCAGTTAGGTGTAGTCCTAGAGGTGGGGCCCAGCTTAAGGAAGTGGGTCCCCGGGGATAGACCTTGAAGTTTGTAGCCCCACCCTATTTCCTCTCTGCTCTCTGCTTCCTGACCGTGGAAGTAATGTGACCATCTGCCCCAAGCTACTGCCACCATGCCTTTCCCATTTCAATGGACTGTGCGCCCCCAAACTGTGTACCCAAAGCGCTCTCCTCTTAAGTTGCTTCTTGTTAAGCATTTAATCACATAATGCAAAGTAGTCATATAGGGAGAGTCACCGCGAGGAGTGAAGATGAATAGTTTAAATATGGAAGTCAGCTTGGGCTAGGGTTTGAGAGGTGTGGTGTTCTTCTAGACTTGTTAATGTGTAAACACAGCCCAGTAAAACACTGGGCAAATCTTCTGTTTTGCTCGCCATCACATTCAGGGCTCCTGCCTGTGAACTGATGAGGAAGTCGGTACAAGCTTGTGGCTCAGACTCAGGCAGGTGGTAGGTTTGGTGGAGGGCAGGCACCCTGTGTGGAAGCCTTGCACGCCTTACAGATGGCACATAAGCACCCCTCTTCCCCCTTACTGCTTTTTCTGAATGTAACTTAATAATTAAGGAGCTAGGTTTTAAATAATTCCATAAGCTATCTGGGTGACATCTTAATTACTTCTAGAGTGTGCCATCTGATACCTAAGAGTTCAAACTCTTGTGTGGTAACTTTGTGCCCCCCCCCCTTTTTTTTAAATGTATTCTCATCCCAAGCTTCTCATTCTTCATAGTATCATTGATTTTCCTAAAAAACATTCAGGATATTTTCTCCTATTCAAACTTTAGTCTGTATTTATTTTTCTGCCTGATTTGAAGTTATTAGCTAATCGAAGGGAAGGAAGCCAAGCTAGGGCCCTGGGTGAAAACCACACCCACTGCCCTTCTGACTGACGGAAGTGCTGCCTCTTGCGGGTCTTACCTATACTTCTGTGTGTCTGCTTGCTTGACTTTCCTTTCCGTCATTTAGCAAGAAGTCCCTCGTGAGCTGAGGCCTTTCATCGTGGGTTTCCCACCCTTTAGGACTCTAGGAAGTCCAGTAAGCCCATTATTTGTACCCTTCCCACTCTGGTGTTTTGTTACAGCAGTACAGAGTGGACCCAGACAACTCACTTTGAGCTCTTCAGAAAAATGGATTAGGAACATGTTTGATTTGGACCTGAAGAGACACCATTCAGCAGGTCACCCAGGAGAAGGCTGTTGTTTCCAAGTAGCTGCTTTATTTGGGGAGAAATAGTAGTAGACAGTTAAGGGTGTGTGTACTAGTTAGGGTTACCAGTTAGGGTTTCTGTGACAAAACACTATGAACAACTGGGAGAGGAAAGGGTTTATTTGGCTTATGCTTCCACATCAGTGTTCATCGTCAACAGAAGTCAGGACAGGAACTCAAACAGGGCAGGAACCTGGAGGCAGGGGCTGATGCAGAGGCCATAGAGGAGTGCTGCTTAATGGCTTGTTTATCATGACTTAGCCTGGTTTTTTATAGAACCCAGGACCACCAGCCCAGAGATGGAACCATCCACAGTGGGCTGGGCCCTGCCCCATCAATCATCAGTAATGAGAATGTGCCACAGGCTTGCGTACAGCCCGGTCTTCTGGAGACATTTTCTCAATTGATGTTCCTTCCTCTCAGTTGACTGTAGCTTATGTCACGTTGGCATAAAACTAGCCAGCATGGTGTAAAATTAGATAATTGATGCAGGATCAAATAAAATATAAATGTAAGCCTAGAAAAATAGAATCATCCTTTCTCCTTTCAGTAAAAATTTCAAAGCCAGCTTTTGTAGCATCACTTTCTTAACATATAAATCTTGATAGCATCAATGGCTTTGTGAATACACAGGAAACATCAGCACAGCAGTCTGTAGTTAAAGAGGAAAAAGCTGAGGAACTGGCTGAGGGGAGAGTCAGTCACATCTTCTTCATCCACCTAACTGTCCCCCTCGATTTCACTCTTTAACGTTTTCCCTGTATTTTACTTAGTCCATGGTAGACTGTGTGGTACCACTAGGTACATTCTTACATGACGTGATGTGTGGCTGGGTTTATTGCAGTGACTTTTAATCTGGTGACGCATGCAGCTGCTTTCCCCTCAGTCATGGCATGCTGCCTCTCAGATGTAGTTGTCCAAGTTTCTCCTCTCTTCATTCATTCATTCATCCATTCACCCATTCATTCATTCATGAGCAGACAGTGAGAGTCGTGCCGAGTTTTGAGTCGAGTTGTCCTGTATGCAGTGTATGCCATCAGAGAGACGAAATTCTAAGTAGTACCCATCCTGCTTCTACGAACAGAGGTTAAGGGTGAAAGGTCCCTGTGGCTCATGAACACTGTGCCACACACAGGATTGTTTCATTTAATGAAGAGACGTAAACACCACTATTGCTTGTTTCTTTTCATTTTCATTTACTTATCAATTGTATGTTTTTGCAGGGGGTTTTTAAATTTCATTTCTGTTATTCAAAGGAACTAAGTTTATAATGCTTTCAGTTTTATTTGTGCTGAGAACTCATGGCTGGTTGCTTTCTTTCTGCCCCTCCCCGTCCCTCAGGTTTTCCTTACAAAGCTGTGTGTTTTGCCTTCAATATGGCTTCTTTTCTAGTGTTAGAACAAGTGATGCAGGCTTCCCATGAGCCCTGTAGCCATTAGTAAATCCCAGTTATTTGTGAGCAAATGTAACTATCTCTGTAGTGAGGTGTTGGGGGCAGTAGCTCCTGTGTGCTCTAGAAGCAGGACAGAAGATGTCATTTCACTAGGCTACAAACTGCCAGCTAGACCTTCCAGGTCCTGTAGATTTAGGTGGACACGGTGCCCAGAAGATTTCATCTCTATCTCTGCCTTTATTTCTAGATGACACTCTCGCAGGTTTCCCTTTCCTCTGGTATTAAGTGTAGGTGGAATCGAATTGTGAAGGAGTATTAAAGATGGGTGAATGATTCTAGGTACTGAGAGTTTAGCAGTTAAATGTGTCAGTGGTCAAGGGCAGTGGACTCACAAAAGAAGATCTCCAGCTGAGAGATCAATCCCCGTCCCCACCCTACAGAACAGGAATCCTGGAAGGTCTGAATCTGTCAGGTGACTTCATCTGCCATCTCCATTTTCTTACCTGGGGTCTCTTACTCACACAGGCATCCTTTGTTCCCGCCTCTCTTCACCATCTTCATGATGTCATTCGTGCCTGAGGAACTTTTCCTGTCTACTGTAGTGCTTAGTTAGCATTTTGCATGATGTCAGCAGCTGCTAAGTAATTATCATTTAATGAATGCATAATGCTGCTTGCCTATCTAAATTATTCCCTAACATAACTGAAAGGCTGAAGCCTTTGAATGAGTTAAAAACAAAAATATTGTATTGTTAAGGCTAGTTTTAAATGCAGAACAGACTAATGTAGTGACTGTTAATTTAGTAACCTTCTGTGTGAATTGGCATCAGGTAATTTAGTGGCCAGATCCCC